TATGGACTTTTCACCACCTGAAACAACTGCCTGGGACCTGTTTCTTCCCACCCAGCTCAAAACAGAGCTCCATGGCTACAAGGCCATGCTTCTTGCACTTCAAAGTCACTGTGGAGAGGGTTTATACTTGTTATTCCACTTAATGTTTCTGACTTTGAAATGATTATGGGGTCTCCTCTGAATGCTTTATGGGGTAACAAAACTCAGAAGAATAGGGCTCACTCCAGCTGAGTAAATAGAAGCTATTTTCATAAATCTTGAGACTATTGGAACATCAACAACACTATCCTATGTGAGTTGTTATGACCTTGTGTTTGCAGATTCGTGTGTTAAAGCTCAGGCTTGTGCTTTCAGCCTTGTGTTCTATTATGGTAGAAATTTCAGGTAGCCCCAGAGAGGGTTCTCCAGCCCAATAACCTCTCTGAGCCCCACTTGAAGCTCTCTGTAGCCAGCCTGTGTGGAGATGACTCTGCTTTGATCACCTTCTTTTCCTTGCAAGGAGCCCATCAAACTGCCAGGGAACCAGGAACAATCATTTCCAGCTATTTTGAGTGAAATTAGCTCCCAGGTACATTCGTGGTTCATGTGCTGCTCCACACCAAAGGTTCCCAGCCTGGGGGCAGCCAACAGCCCTGGACCTGCTCTGGAGCTCTCACACCTGGGCTGCATCCCTGTGCTCAGCATGGACTGTCATTGCTGGTGATCTGCTGCTCTTCAAACCCACAGCTGGGGGAAGTGCCTGTGGAGATGGTGTTTTTCTTCCAAATTCAGCAACTTTTTTTTTATTCTTCACAGTTTGCAAGTTGTTTGTAGCCAAAACTCACACAGCCCTGCTCGGTTTGCTTTCCATCTACTTTATTCTTACTCATAAGTTTGAAAAAAATCAGCTAATAAAACCAAAGTGTTCTGCTACAGTTCATTATTTGGGCTGAAACACCTTCCCTTCTGTTTGATTGCCCATGGGAAGAGAGGGTAAGTCAGAACCCCTGAAATCTTCCCAACCAAGGAGGCAGAAATGGAAAGAGGAAATACAGAGCAGTTTGTCAGTTGATACAGGTGAGCACAGCTCCCCTTTTACTGTAAAGCTTTCCTGCTTTTGCCAGCTGAAGATCCATGTCTGAGAGGCCTCACAGGTGATTGTGATGAGCCACTGATAATCCCACAAGAACCTGCTGGGCAGTAGCACCTCAGTCCCAACACACAGAACTCGCTAAACAACCCCATTGTGCACCTCAAACCCCAGCTGGGTAGAGATACAAACAGGTGCAACATTCCTGGTGTACTCAGGAGCACTCACAAGTGCTTTAATCAAAGCATAAACCTTGAATAATACAAAGGATAGGTAATGCCCCCATTAATTTTGTTTCCTCTCCATTTGTTAATTGTTCAGAAAAACAGAAATTCATTTACAGACACTGCTATTAGGTCTTGTGAAGGCTGTGGGTCATCCAGTTTTTACTAGGAAAAGGTTTTACTGGAAAAACTTGTAAGAGCAAGGAATTTTTTCCTGAACTAATGATGCTCCCATTGAAAAGCTTAGAGAAAATGGAAAACACAGAGGACAGCACTGCAAAGCAGAGAAAAATAAAGAAACCCTTACCTAGACATCTGTTTTTAAAAAATATTTATTTGTAGTGTTTATTTCAACTGACCAAAGTCAAGTGATGTTAAGAACAGAAGAAGATAATTATACCAAATAACATGAATCGACAAAGTGAGTTCTGTGGAGTAAAGGAGATCTGTAAACCCAATCCAGAGCAGGCTGGTAAATCTAAATATGACACAAGTATGAAGGAAGCAGAGTACACATGGACAGGAATACCTGAACTAAATCCAGAGAAATTAAACAGAACAGAAGAGTTTCCCCTGAGTCTTATGGATTAAGATTTGATTTTCAGTCTAGAGGTCTATCAGAAATATTTTGGCACAGTCAAAGTGACACAGCAAAGCTAGATGCACAGTGTCAACTCATTGAACCAGGACACACCTTATGAAATGGTAAAAAGAAAATGTTAGAGTCTATCTATGCTCCCATACACACCTACAGTTGTTCTGCACCTGCATTTTTAGACTCTTTGCACAACAAGATTATAAAAACATTGAATCTTCATTGCATTGCATTGAATAGACTGAAAATCTTAAAGCACCATGATATAAATTTATTTAGCAGAAATTGTGCCCCCATGACCTCAGCTTCTTGTTTCCGACCATCAGTAAAAAAGAGGGAAATTAAATGAACATAACTCCAGGAATGACCAATCTGATGATAACAGGGGACACTCTGACAGCCCATTCCCCCTTCTTTCTGTGCTGTGGGTATTTATTACCAGGACCTAGTGGTTAACATTCAGGTTTTAGGTCTAATCCTCTTGGTTGCCCATGACAGTAACCCCTGGAAACTCCATGGCCTGCCTGCCTTCCACCTCCTCCCACTGCAATGTTACTTGGTTTCTTACTGTGCCTAGACTTAATCTTTACCTTCAGGATGTTACTTTCTTCCATATTCTTCTATACTTACCCAAAATTTGCCTCAAATTTTTATATCTGAGTGTATTTATCTACCTTTTGTTCTTCCTTTAAGATCTCAGTTGCACATCAGCTTAGAACAACAGTTCTTGCAATTAGGTTGGATAACTGCAATCCAAAATTTTTCCTAGGCAAGACTCCAAAAGAGTTAATTGGCTTCAGTGGGAGACTTGTCCTGAGTAGGAAAGGCAAGTTTTGGCCTCAAGGAGACTATAAAATCCCGTTTAAAAATCAGTAGTTGTTCAGAGGCTCATTCCTGTGACAACATCATTCTTTGTGTTTCCTTTCCTAAATTCCTTTCCTAGTCATAAGAGGAAAGCTTCTGGCACCAAAATCAAATGATAATACCCTGGCCACCTCCCAAAACCCCGTAGAATCTCGAAGAAAGCACCGTTGTCTCTCCCAAGGCAGTGTAAATCCTCCAAGACGCCGGATTTCCACGTTTTGTTAGGAAAGTGTTTTTCATGCAGGCAATAAACGGCCCCGATAAGAACTGTGCCCCTGCCAAACTCTCTAGTTGCTTTACGTGTTGCCATCAGAGCTTACACTCCTCACAGTCCCCCCTGCAGTATTTAAGGTGTTGTTCTCATCTGTGCAGGAAGGGCACTGGTGGCCAAAGGCTGCTGAGGGGGTTCTGCCTCCTCAGCCCAAGTGGCACCACTGAACTACAAGCACTGGGACAGGGGTCTTTTTTCCACCATCACACATCTCCTTTCCTTCTCAGAAGCTGTAAGCCATGCTCCTTCCTCAGTGTAATTCTCTTTTGGGTCCAAAATAAAAGCTGACACTGTAAAAAAAGCCTCTGTAACAAAGCCTTCCTACAGCTTCTTGTAACTGCATAAACTCCACTTCTTTCTTCATATCTGAGATCCCAAACATTTCCCATTCTTTCAATGCTGCAGTCACTGAATTACATCCCACTTGCCAGGGAAACCTTGGGAAAACAAGTCAGTCCTGTAAAGCTTCCTGTAGGTCCCCAATTCCTGCTAGAGCAGCCAGAGGGGAATGGAGCCATTCTGAGCTGAACACTCTGCACTGGGGCTGCTCTAGGAGTGGTCCCCTGGCCTCTATCAAGCTACTGGATTTAGCTCCCCAGATGATCTCAGCTACTGTAGAACCACAAGCAGAGCCTCTTGCCTCCCAAACTTATGACACAAATCCTTTATGACCCTGTGAGCTAATGCAGAGGGAAATGGGACTGGCACCACCCTGTTTACAAGGCCTGGGCTCTCCATGGAGAAAATGCTGCTGCAGCCCCACTTGTGTTAGAACAGAAGTGCAAGTTTAGGATAGAGGTACTTTGGGTAAGAGGAGCTGTTGCTCACTGGTTACAGCATAGACAACAGCACGTGGCTGAAGTCACATGCATCCAGGTTTGGGTCTAGCTGATGTGATTCCCTATTTTATAAAAGAGCAGAGATGGAAATACAGATCTTGGTATCAAATGAACCCACAGCAGTGACAGTGTGAGATCCTGTGCCAGTCCCGTGCTCCCCAGTGCCCAGGTACCTGCAGTGAACACCCCAGAACCACAAATCAGAACTTGGTGGCCTCACTCCAGAGAAGGCAATATCTAAAGCTGTGGGACAAGGTCATGAAAAGGAAATGGATGAGATTTTGTTTTAACTTTCTGATCTGAAGATGAGCAAGGAGCAAAGAGTGTTTGGCAGTTCTGAAAGGTAAGTGCACAAGAACCAGTGAAAAAAGCCAATTTCCATTTCCCCTCTTCTCTCCTCTCAGCACCTTCTGTTCTAACACTGGGCCAAAATGACTGAAAGACATTTGAGAAGCCTGGAGCTCAATGGAGAATTGGGGCTGAGTTTTGCTGCTTTAACAGTGACTTCCTTGACACAGTATTTCAGCTATCTATCACTTCAGAGAAAGGCTATATTTCTACACTGAAGCCAACCCTTCACAGACAAGTAATTTGAATTCCTCCAAGTTCACTTCCTCTAGCCTCCAGGAAATGAAATATAACTCAGAAAAATACTCATTTTGATGAGGGTTTAAACTGAAAAATAAAGATTAAATGCCAGTCACTGTACAGCACTGTCAAATTTTTCCCACATTGAGTAATTCTGGTTCCTAATGGAGTTCACACTACCTACCTACCACAAAACATCTGTGATTTAAATTGTTTGATGAAATATATCTTATATCAGATTGAAAAACATTAGAATCAACGGGACACTAAATTACTTGACTCTCTTGAGCTTTGCCCTTGTAGAGCACTGTCAGTCAGCGTGTCCAAACATCTTTCCACACACTCCACAATGATTCCGAAAGTGGGTCATTAACACATTTTGTCATGTTATGCAATTTCTCCCTCCCCTCTAAACTGGGCTTTTTTCCAGGTCCAGTAGCCAACAATAAATCAATCACAGTCTCTTACAAGCCTTTTGACTTAAATCCTGTCCTGTAGGCTGGGCTAAAACCAGAGCAGGAATCACTGCAGGTTGTGAGGCAGGACAGGGCTAGTGGTGACTGCTGCTTAGGAGGTGTTTGCCTGACCCACTGCCGTTCTTGTTGCCACTCTTTGTGGACTCCTCTTCAGTGTCTGTAACAGAATCTTCCTCCTCTTCATCACTCCGATCATCTTTCAAGTCCTAGGGAGAAGAAAGCACTGTGAACATATTCTACTGCCCCCAGAAACACACCCTGCCCCCAAAATGGAGGCTGACATCCAAGGAGAGATCAGTTAACAGCACTTTAATTTTGCAGAACCAAATCTTCTTTAGACAAAACTGCTTCTGTGACCTTGGCCCAGCCACTTGACCTCTTCTTGTTCATTTCTGCTTCTCACTGTAAAGTGTGATTATTAATCCCTGGGCGCTGTGGGATTAATTAACAGCTGTGAAGTGCAGGGAAGATGAAAAAAATATTGTTTAAAAGCTAAATATGATGAATACACTCACCCAAACACAGGAGCTGAGAGGCTGCCTGCTTCTGACAGGTGTAAACTAAACAGTGATGAGTTGTGCCAGCATCTCCTGGCACCAACTTTGCTCAAAGACACTTGCTGACCCTAAAATGCTCTTTCCTGCTCAGTGGTGTACACAGCACATCAACACTGGCACAGGGGAGGCTGTGTCTGTACAGCTGTTGTGCATCTTGGCTTTATCATCCTGTTAAAGGAACTGCCTGGGAGGAGAAAGGCTGCTCCATGAGCAGGGATGGATGGGGAGCCTGCCCTCAGGAAAATCCCTCTCCAGCTCCATAGGGACAGCTCCAAGCACTTGGCAATCATGCTTCATCCCAGACAATCAAAAATGGAAAGAGCAAATGTTTCCACCACACAAAAAAGAGTCATCAAATCTACCTCGTGTGTCAGGGAAAGGTGAGACCATGCTGTGCTGTTTGTCATGGCACATAAAATACACCATTAGTCTCCTATTTCTCAACTCCTGCCATAACCTAAGGCCCTACAAATGTGCTCAGAAGTTTGTTTCAAACAATCGAGGCTTCAGCATTAAACCCAAACACCCCAATTTTCCCTTCAGTGCAACAAGCTCACAATGGCAGCAGCTGCCTGGAAGACTTTCCACACCAATGGGTGACCTGCTCCACAGACTCAGGGCAGGATGCTCCAGTTAGAGATGCTGTTCATCCAGAAAACACTTTCTTCTTCCCAACTCCTGAGAACAGGCACCACTTTTTGTACTGCCGGATGCTGGGGTTTCTCCTCATGACAGAGCTCTGCCTCCAAAGCTGTGCTGGAGCTGGCAGGAATGTCAGCACAATCCCCTGTCTGCACAGCCACACTGGGAGCACTCCATCATGGACAAATCTGCTCTCATGTCATCCATCTGGACCTCAGCTACACAGGCAGAGGCTGCTCCTTCTCCCTGTGATGTGCCAAGGTCAGAACAGTGGTGCAGGGAGGAGAAACCAGGGCTGTTCCTGCCCCTCCTGTATCTGCTCTTGGAATGAACTAACAATTCCACTTCCTTAGCGTGCTGCTCTGAGGTCTTTCTTAAGCACTAAATTCATACAGAGAAAATAAATAACAGCCCAGTAATAACTCATCCAATTGCAATCTCATATCCCTTTATATATTACACTCATAGTAAAAGGTATAGGGCTAGAAAGCAAATTAAAGCCTGAGCTCTGGCTCATCACAAACTGTAAACTTCCTGGAGATTTTCTTTTGCTTTTTCCCTAACAACTTACAAAGGGTATCAAAACAAACAAATCTTACTGTAAATACTGTAAAATAAACTTGGCATGCCATCAGTTAGAGAAAAGGCAAGACAGCCTTTCCCACACAATTTATGAGGTTCTGGCTCTTTCAGATCACCTCACTCCCTTCTGGTATTTTTGCCATTTGTATTTGCAGTAAAAGACAAATGCTGAGGGGGTGGGGAGAAGATTGTTGCTTTTCTGCCACCAGAAATGTTTCAGAAAGAAAAGCAAACTACTCCTAAGCAGTGTCTGATGCCAAATCCACTGCACTCCCTGGAAGTGCTCTCATGTCCCTGAGGCTGCACTGTGGGCAGTGATGGGGAGCAGCACTTCAGGACTCATTGGGAATGATGTTCAGGGAAGTTTGTGGTATTTCATTTGGAGTCCCTCCTTGTGCTGCACACAAGTTGCTGGTGCTCAAGCATGTCCTTAAGAGCAGCTGGCAAACTGCTCTGCTTTGAATGATAGCCAGTATGTGATATTGATTCCTGTTTCCTATAGGAATGAGCTGGCATTTCCAGCATGGAACTGGAAACTCAGAGTTGGCTTCCCAGTTTTAATGCTGTCAAGATGGATGCTCTGATTAAAGGCACTATACATAGTAATTAAAAAACATGTCGTGTTTTTTCCAGCCCACTGTAAATCCCTGCCTTTGAGAGAACATCTTACAGATTTCAAAGCAGCAGAATTAAATTTCTTCATATTCTGAAGTAATCACTGCAAAATTTCTTAATTCTGGGAAAAAGTGTTACTTCTGAAATCTGATATAAATCAAGAAAAAGTGCTGCTAAATTAAATCTAATTTTTATTGTATTTTATAATAATGAACTTGCTTCCTGGCCAAGTGCTTCTAAAAATTCCTGTGTTAGGAGAGTCTGGCCATTTTTGTCTGGCTTATTTAAGTGACAGAACTTGAAATAGCAATAGCTTCATCTGTAACTGGAAATCCAAACAAACCTGTCTTTGCAAACTGTTTAACAGACCATTATAAATGTATTAAGATATTCTAAGTGAAGTTTGTGCCTCTTAACTTTGACCTTTTAATAATAACAAAAATGGTAACATTTCTAGGATTTTCTCCACTTTAATACCAAGATGTTTTCTCTGAGCCCCTCACATCATATATTATACTCATGTTTTCCAACTCAAAGGCTCTGCTCTGACTGTCCTTGAGCAGCAGCAGATGAATATACTATCAGGAACACAAGAGCTGGCAAACTGTAAATACCACAGCTGAGGCCATCATTAATACTCAATGCTTTAGTTTAATGGCATCAACTGCATTTATTATACTTCAGCTGGTTTTGGGTAACAGACAAAATGGATGTGTACATTTTCTGTTCTGGATGACTAACCAATTTAATCTTTCTAAATGGATGAATGGTTTCAAGGTTTATGAGAAGCAACACTAATGCTATAAAGTCTGCAAGAGAGCCATTTGTAGTGAAGCCAAAGCTACAAACTTTTATAATCTTTTTTCCTTTTGTTTAACCCTTCCACCTGCTGCTCAGTCTGCCTCTTTTAGTTAAATGAACCGTATTTGTTAAGGTAGTTTTAGCTTCTTGCATTTCACTGCTGTTAGAACATGAAATGTTCTGTCATTGAAGTCATTAGCACAACATGGAAGGTAAAGGAGGACCTTCTAAGCGACTTCACCACGGAACAAAAGAGTTCTTGAAGTCAGGAGATGAACAAAATCCATGGGCCACCTCCTAGCCTCTTGTAAGCAGAATAATGCTGCTCAAATCTCTATCTAAACCAACAGAATCCACTCCTAATTGTACAAGCCTGTCTCTCAATAAAGCACTCGGAGATCACTTCCCTCTTGACAAGCCCTTGGCCCTTCACTCTGCTGCAGCTGAGGAGAGCAGCAGCAGGACAAGGCTGAGCTGATGGAAGCGTTGGTTTCCTGTCCCCTGGGCTGGTGACACCATGGGAACCCCACTGCTGAGGTGGGGCTGGGCAGACACCACCCTTCCCTCCTGCCCTTCACTGGCAAAGTGGCATCTTTGTGCAGGGCACACCGAGGTCACACTGCAGCCACGGCAGGGCAGCTCAAGTGGAAAGTGTAAGAGCAGAGGGAAGGACAGTGCCAGGCAGTATAAAAAAGGCAGAAATAAATATAATAAAAATATATTGTAGCAACGTGGACCGATCCTCCAAACAGAGAGGAAACCTTAGCAACGTGCCTCTGCTTTCCCAGAAGGGGAAGGGCCCTTGCTAGCAAATGTCAGCTCCCTGTGAGGGTGGGGAGGCACAGTGGCCCAGAGCAGCTGTGGATGGATCTCTGCAAGTGCCCAAAGCCAGGCTGGACACGGCTTGGAGCAGCCTGGGACACTGGAAAGTGTCTCTGCCCACGGCAGGGGCTGGGATGGGATTTAAGGTCCTTTCCAACCCAAACCATGCCATGATTCCACGATTCCAACTGTGCCCATGTGGGTGGTGGGAGATGTCCCAGGCCTAACTCCCCTGGTGGGATCAACACTGACTCCAGGCTTCTCAACAACATGAGAAAATTTCAATTTGGCCCTGACTGGACAAGACTAGAACCAATTAATGTTTTGAGCTAAGCATAGTTTACACCCACACAGTTAACTGGATTTCTCCTACCAAGTACTGATGTATCAAAAAAATTCAGAGGTGATTGCAGAATTATCTTTTTTCTGATCTGCTGAAATTTAGATTTTTTGACTTTCAAATACTTATTCTTAACATTTAGTTGGAATTTTCTGACTCTTATATGGATCTTCTATTAAAATCAGAACCTTATACCCTAATTCTACCTTAAAAATATTTTCATTTAAACATCCACAAACACATTGACTAGATCTTGATTTTTCAATGTAAAGACAGTAAATTCCACAGCACCTGCACATATGGAAACAGCTTGAAGTACAAAGATGAAAGCTATTAGTCAGGTCAGCAACCACTGCCTCAAATAAAAGAGATAATAAACAAGAGAGATTATAAAAAGTCAGTCCAAGTAGATAGAAGGGGGTACTTTTCTAACAAATAAAACTATAAAGTTGATGAATCTCTGAGCTCAACATGCTGAATTCAACATCAATAATTTAACTCAGCTGACATATGACTTAATAAGTCTTTACTTTCCTATTGAGACTAAGCAATATACATTTGGATTCAAGCAAACTCTTCTGTATTTCCAGCCTGGAAGATTTTATTGGAAAATATATTTCCCTTTTCAGCTCATACACACTAGGCAACATAAATAATGTTTATCTTCTACAGAAGATGCACAGTTGGACTCTGCTTTCTGCAGTTTTTAAATGAAGATGCAGACTTTCTGAGTTAATTGTATTGGACATCTTGTGGCAAAAAGTCCTCTTATTTAATCTATCTCTTCTATGTAATACCCATTCCCCAAGCTTTCCACTGACAGTTTGCAGAGAGAACACAAAGAAGA